TGGTTCTGATATTGCACTTTTCTTAATTTTCCCGTAATCTCTTTGTTCAATTGTTCAATACGCTTTCAATTATGTTTGTGCTTTGCAATCAAGTCGGAGTAGTAATTTCTTTTCGCATCTTTCGCGGAATTTTTCGAATTTATTTTTATAAGTTAAGTAACTTATTAAGTAATTATTTTTATGCTTGACTGATTTAGATTTTAGATATTTAATTTATAGTTTTTGTTTCATTTTCGATGATTTTTTAAGTTCTCAGCGTTAAGAGTTGTTTCACGAATAGGGAAGTTTGCGTCATGGTTTTAAATGTTTTAAAAAAAGAATCGTAAATCAGGTTTATATCATCATTGAAGTAAATATTGCTTCAGTTTTGATTCGAAATTTGTTCCTTAAATGATTTCAAGTTGTTGCTATTGTATACACCTTTTTTTATAGCTGTCCTACCCTGGAGCTTTAATTAATAATTCAGTTAAGAATCGTAAAAAAAATTTTTTATCAACTTATTGCTCTCACGTTTGGACCAGGTGTAGATAAAATTTTAGGGCTATTTGTTCCCAGGTTCTAAGTATTGCAATTATTTGCAAAACATCTTTATTTGACATATTATTTATTTAGTTTGTCATTATAAAATTTAAGTCGTTTTTTATTTAAAGACATTTAGTTTTTAACAAGTATTTATTAATTCTGGTAAATTAGAAAAACAAACATTACCTGGGAATATATTTTTTAAATAGTGCATACGTACTTTTATTTTAAACATTCCCCTCCCCATACGTTTTTTTAGACCCTCTCCCTTATCCTCCTCCTATGATGGTACGTACTTTATAGATAGCACCTTAAAAACCACTTAAACATATTACAAATAATTGCTAACTAAAAATTATTGTAATTGCAAACCACAAAGTTGTAACCTTCAACATTTCAAACAATCTTGAACATTATTTATTTATATTTTAATACTTTATTTTCTTATTTCATTTTAAATAATAAAAATTGAATAATTGAAAATGAGTTATAGCTATATATATATATGTATATATATATATATACATATATATATATATATATATATATATATATATATATATATATATATATATATATATATATATATATATATATATATATATATATATATATATATATATATATATATATATATATATATATATATATATATATAGCGTTGATGGATTGAGCGTTCACTGCTTCTTGCGAAAGCGCATTCCATGGGGCGACAATTCTGTTTGAAAAAAAGTTATATCGCTCCTCACAGTTTTTTACCATCTGACGTTCTAGTTTATGGTTATGGCCTCTTAGAATATAATTATCTTTACTTTTTGAAAATTTTTGCGGGACGACAAAACTGACAAGCTCGAGTTTACGAGTGATTTTGAATTGCTCGATAAGATCTGCTCTTTTGCGGCGTTCTTCAAGAGTTGTGAAACCAAGCCGTTGGAGTCGATCTTCATAGGACAGGTGTTTAATAGTCAATATTGTTTTTGTTGCTCGTTGTTGGACTTGCTCGAGAATGGTAATGTCTGATTTTAAATGCGGTGACCAGGCTTGTACAGCAAACTCAAGATGGGGGCGAATGTAAGTGAGATACAAAGTGCGCCATTAATAAAAAATGCGACTGCGAAATGTTTTTTTGAGTCGCCCTAGCATTCTATTTGCTACTGATGCGGCTGACTCTATTTACGGTCTGACTTTAAGATCATTCGAGACCATCACACCAAGGTCTCTTTTGACGGGTACCGTCAACGTTAGACATTGAGTATTTGTACGTCGACTTGTTACATCCGCGCCCAACATGCATTACTTTGCATTTCTCAACGTTGAAATACAAGAGTCAAATGTGTGACCATTCCACTGCTCTGTCAACGTCATCTTGGAGAGTGATGCTGTCCGACTCCTTTTTAATTATTCCTATTATTTTGCTGTCGTCGGCAAACAGTTTCATATGATGAGTAATTCTGTCCGGCAGGTCGTTTACAAAGATTAAGAATAGCAATGGGCCCAAGACCGAGCCTTGAGGCACTTCATTAGTGACTGCTTTCCATTCAGCAGTAATGCTGTTTATAACCACTCGTTGACATCGATTGTTTAGCCAAGCTGCAATCCAATCAACGAGAGCGCCTTGAATACCGTACGCTTTCAGCTTATGAAGGAGGCGTTTATGTCGAACGCCTTTGCAAAGTCTGTGTAAATGACGTCTACTGCGTGTCTGCAGTGAGTTGCTTCCGTCATGATGTCCCGAGTTTTTAAAAGGTTTGATACGCATCCCTTACGATGAACAAAGCCATGCTGGTTTGGAGAAATTAGTCCATTAGCAACGTAGTGTTCCATTATTCTTTTTTGTAAAATACTTTCCATAATTTTGCAAGGTATGGAATTGAGTGAGACTGGCCGGTAGTTGGATAGGCTTTTAGCCTATCCAACTACCGGTAAGTTTTTTTTAAAACTTGAATGTAACACCTATTTTCAATTTATATATATATATTTATATATATATATATATATATATATATATATATATATATATATATATATATATATTTATATATATATATATATATATATATATATATATATAAAACTAGTTCTAATTTTAATGGATTTAAATTGTTATTTTTGTTGGATGGACTGTTGGATGTCATTTTTATTTTAAGTTGCGTTAAATGATTGTTGGCGTGTCATATTTTAAATGTTTTATTAATTCCATAATTTGTAGTTTTATCAATTCCATTAAAATCTTTAAGTTTAAGTTTTAGGATTGCAAGAAATTTATTTAATTTTTTTAAATTAAAACTCTATTATTATTCTATAACTACCAATAGTAACTTTTGCATGGCACTACTGTATCCACAATTTATTTTATCATTGATTGTTAAAACCTTTTAGTTTTATTTCTCGGAAATCGATAACAACTACTATAGTAGTTTTTTCTTTGTACTTAGGGACTTCTATTTTAATTTTAAAATTACTTGAACCAAAAGTCACCATAGGGTAGTTAATAATAATTCAATTTTTGCAAATTTAAATATAAGTTCAATTGTTGCATAATTAAATAAATCAAACCATGTGTACTTTTCTGGACATTAATTTTAACTCTTTATTTTTTTTTATTTTGTCTTAAAAACTTCATTAGCTACCTAAAGATTTTTACGTTTTTTAAAACCCTAATACATTGGAAATAAATTTAAAACCTTAATACATTGGAAATAAATTTCAGGAGATTGCACAATCGCAATTATTAGATTGTGCAGAAATTTTTTTACATCAAAAAATATTTTTGTTAGTTTTTATATTACAATTTTTTTACTTTCTAAACCTATTTTATTGGTTGTAACGTTAAAACGTTAAATGAAGATGTAAAATAAAGAAAAAAAACTTCATGAAGATGTAAAACAAAAAAAGATTTTTTATGAAGATGTAAAAAAAAAAACTTCATGAAGATGTAAAATAAAGAAAAAATTCTTCATGAAGATGTAAAATAAAAAAGATTCTTCATGATCATCAAACTTCAATAAGAAAAATTTTAATTTTTTTTTTTATATTTAATGTTTTTTTTTATTACCTTTATAATTTAATGTGTTTAAATTATATATAATTAATATCTAAATTAACAATTAAGTTATATAAACGTATAATTAAAAAAACAACTAACTTCAAAAGCAGTAACAGTAAAATTTATGGTTTCCTGCGGTTCATGAAATTGCACGTAGTTATAAACTCATAAACCGCAATTATGTGCTTGTAACTTACGCTAAAAATAAAAAATCGAGCCGTCACTTTTGTTTGAAATCATAAACTTTACGCTGCGGAAGAAAATTATAAAAATTAAATAATATTGACAAACTGTAAATTTGTTAGTTCTGTAGTAAGTTCTGAATAGAAGACAAAAAAAGATCTGAAATAGTTTAGGTTTGTTTTATCGTTGACATTTACGTAAAAGTTTCCAAAAAAATCTCAATACTGCTCAAAGTACTTGTCAAAACAAAACAGGTATTTTTTATTTTTTTAACAGGTATCATATTTTTCGTTCTGGTAATTTTTATTCAACTCAAATATTTAAAAAAAATAATAAACAACTTGTTCAAGGAAAGCGTCATTTTGACACGCTGTCCAGAATTAAGAATTTGTTTCCGTTATAAGAGTGATTCAAAAGTTCAAATTTCAACTCAGCAGGAAAACAAGAATGTAATTGTTTCAAAATATTGTGACAATTTTTAACGAATAATATTTGAACTTTAAAAACTTGTGTGTTGATGAAAAAAAAACCAAACAAACTTACGGAACCGAAATCTGTTGGCCGTGCTTTGGCCATTTTCATATTTATTTATAGACAGTAGTTTTGTTTAAAATGGAAAATATTGCTATGTTTACAGCACAAATTAAAATATTTGAATTTTTGTTTTGTTTTTGTTGTTTCAATTCCTGAATGTAATATGAATTTGTAATACATTTTTTTCTATTCAACATTTGTCTAAAGGTTTTAATAAATCAAAATAATAATAACCAAACTTCGTGGTTACACAAATTTGTATGGCTTTATTCTTTGGTAATGTTTTTTTGTATTATTGCTTGTAAAAATGTTTATTTAAAATATTTTTTTTAAAGTAATTTAAAAAATTTAATTGAAATTTCTGGCAAGAAAGTTAGTAAGATTTTAAAAAGTGATATTGTGTTTATTTGATCTCGCTCATTCAGATCTTTTTTGTCTCGTTCAAATTATTGTTATTATTTTTACGTTAACAACTTTAATTCTTAAATAAAAAACGGTTTATGTGTTCCATTAAAAAAGTGAGTGGCGTGCAGGTTTTATTCACCCAAACGCTAGTTTTAAAAACTAATTTTCAAAGCTAAAATAAAATTATTTTATTATACATAATTTTTTTGTGCAATCGTGGGTAGGACTTTCAACTTTATACCATAAACTAATGATCTTTAATGGTTTTAATTATGCAATTTTTGATTTTTTTTTTTGTGATATTATAAAGGGGATTTATGAGATCAACCTAATGTCAAACACGTTTACGTTCAAGCTATAACAAAACAATTGCAAATAAAAATAAAGTGGCCAACCTCGAATTATAAAAGAAAATCAAGACAAATCTTATGGATATTGGTGTTGAAGGTGAGAGGAATTTGCGCTTGATATTTTTTTTCTTGTAATATCTATAACTTAAGATTGTTAAGTATCTATTCTTTATTATATTTTTTATTTTATAAGAGGGTTATCTTTAACTTTCAATATATTCTATTTTTCACCGGAATTTCGGTTGGAACAAAATTTTAGGGTAATAGAATTGATTTAACTATCTGTTTGCAATCTTTAAAAAAAAAAAAGAAAAACTATAAAAAGTATCTAATAAATATATAAAGATTGCTATAAATTATTTATAGCAATCTTTATATATTTATTAGATATTTTTTATAATTTTTCTTTTTTTTTTTTAATATTAACTTAATTATTTTTGGTTCAATACTTTAGTACTTGTGCCGTTGACGGTATTGCTAACAATACTTATCCTGCTAGTTATCGGCGTTGTTTGTCGCTTTTATATTTGGCACAAAATATTTCATAAAAAACCTAAATACCAATACGTAAATCCAAGTACGACGAAAGCTCCAGGTTACCCAAAACTTCCTTCGTTTAAAGCAGGTGTACAAACCGTACAAGCCGTACAGATATTAAATAAGCAACAATACACAAAATATTATGATATAAATGGAAATCGCAAAGATAAAACACCATTGCCACTTGATTCAAAAGGGAAGAGCAACGGTTATGAAAAGGTTTTTCAAGGCGGTTCCCAAGAATCGGTATTTCTTGAAAGCGACGAGCTATCTTCAAATCAAAGCGAAGATTCTATGATTTTAAATAGCGATCCAAATTGGCCTGGTTGTGCAACGCAATTATTGCAACGTAAGCAACTGGATAACGGAGACATAAATTATTACGAAAGCAAGTTATTATCATCAAAACATAAGTTTAAATCAGAACCTATCATTTATAATAATGTTTATGAAAATAAAACAGACGATCCGAAACATCGCCAAATAAATCAAACCGGACAAAAAAATATAATTGTTTCTAATCCTGAAAAAAAACTTCGTCGGTCCTCCGACACTAGAAGTGGGCAAAGACGCTGTTCTGCGCAAACTCTTATGAACATATGTGATGGAGAAATAGACTTTATTATATTTTATCAAGCAGAAAAACGATTACTAAATGTTACTGTTAAGTCACTAAAACACGTAAATTTAAATGCATATAATTTTATAGGAGTATTAAATAAATATAACCGCAATGATAAAAATAGACCTGAAGGTAAACCGCATCTTATACAAAATAACGATGGAAAAATTGTTTTAAACGATTCTGAAAACTTATCTTATATGGTGTATGTAACTTTGTCACCAAACAATTTTTATAAAAATCATACAAATTTGGCATTTGGCAAAAATGAGGTACTTTTTAATGAAACTTTTGCAATATCAGCTGTTTCAGCTGAACATATCGGATCCTATGATATTGTTTTTCACGCCCTTTGTTCATTAGCAAATGGAGAGCCTATGGTGTTTGGAGAAGGATATGCAACATTAAAAGATTTTAAGTGGTTTCAAAACACATTACAATCAGTTAAACTTATACCGCCAAAAGAAGAATTTGAACTCCTTCAGGTATCAAATAGTTATAAAAATAAAAATACAAATAATTAATACTTGTAATTAAAAACATAAAATTTTGTTTATTTTAGAACCCAACTGATGTTCAAACCGATCTTGGCTTCTTAAGTCTTGTTCTTAACTATAATCTAATTGCTCACAAACTTATTGTTAAAATTCTTCAAGCCACAGGCCTACCAAAGATAGGTGTAACAGGACATCCAAGTAAGATAAACAATTATATTTTATTTGCTCTGTTTAACGTTTATGAATTAGGGAACTTTTATTAATTTTTTACTTTACAACTTTTAGATACTTCGGTAAAAACCAGCTTTTATATTGGAAAACAACGTCATAGTAAACATAACACATCTATACTAAAAAGACAACGAGAACCAACATTTAATTCTACAATAGAATTCGGTTTAAGTAAAGAAAAACTACTCGAGACCGATATAATATTTGAAATCCGACACCATGGTCCTATGTATAGAAAAAATATTGGTTACGTAACCGTTGGAAGTTCTGCTCAAGCAGAAGGTGCCGTACATTGGCAAAATATGCTTGAGTTTCAATGTTTTGAAAAAATGCATAAAATATTACCTTATAAACCAGATGGTTTTACACCATAACAATAGAAAGTTTTTGTCTTCTTTATTTCTTATGATAGTTAGCTTATAATAATATACATTTGATAATCAAATGGGTAATCAAGACTAACCTAAATAAATAATGTAATTATTTTTGTATTGACCGTTCGTTAGAATTTTAGTAAAAAAGATATAAATAAAACAACGCAAGCGCAAAGCGTTTTAATTTTTTTGATACGTAGTAGTCAAGGAAACACATTTCATACCATTTTTTTAAATATAATAAAACTATTTAACGGGTTAATGGGCCACCAATGGGTCCAATGACTAATTCAAAATGCTTTTGTGTCAATAAAGAGAAATCTAACTTTGATGCTTGGTTAAAGTTTGATACAATTTTAAAAAAAAACACAAATTTCGTTGCCTCGATTATGGTTTTGTTAAGCTCACGATGGTGCAAAGACAAATAAGTCATAATAAAACTTCAAATTCCTGTCACAAGACTATTTTACCTCCTCCCTTTTGTTCATTTTCGTTTGTCCATTTTGAATCTTTTTTTGCTAACACATGAAGGTGTTTTAAAGTTTTATTTACAAATAACTACACTTTTTGAAGTGTTTTATAAAAAGAATGTTTGAAATTCTTTATTCTATGACAATGTACAAATTTTGTTATTTTTTAGGTTAACATTCAAGTTTAAATTTTATGTTTGTTCTCTAAGTTTTTTCTATTTTTATATACGGAGTAGTTTATAATAGTTAAAAATATTATTATTTTGTTTATTGAAATGGAAATTACACGTCTTGGTGACGAGGTAACCATAGCCCTAAATTTTTGCAAATAATAGTTAACTTTTTTCAACATTTAGAAAAAATTTGGAATCAAGATAAATATTTTACTTGAGGTCCCACCATCCTACCCCCGAACACACACACACTTCAGTTGCACGCTGTGACCCATGAATTGTGCATGGTTATCTATACTAATAAGTTTAGATCGCCAAGAAATTATATAAAATACTTTTGCTTATGATCCTCCCTTACTCTGCATTGGTGCAAGCTTGTTTTATATAATAGTGTAATATATAATGTATATAGTAGCGCGCGCGTGTGTGTGTGTGAGTGTGTGTGTGTTAATAATTGATAAAAACATAAATTCGGCTATGACTTTCAAGAAAAAACTTTTTTTTTCTTGAAAACTATAGTCAAATTTATGTTTTTATCAATTACTAACACACACATATTTTTTTCAATTTCAATTATGACTTTCTGACTTTTCTTTTTAATTTTAACTAGCTGGGGTGACCCGTAAAATACGGGTCTTTACCGAACCGACCATTTTTATACTTATCTATAGCTATCCGGACGTAAACTACGGGTCTTAGTAAATCTATTCCACACTGACCTTTTCTATACTTATTCCAATATTTTTTTAAAACCGTTTAAAAATGTACATATAAAAAACTATACTTACTTTTTGATATGACAAAAACATTTCTGTTAAAATGTTCTTTTAAAAACTTCAAACGATTTTAATATTATGCCGATTATAAAAATTTTAATAAGAAAAAACGTAAAAAAGACTACGAACTTAGAAAAATGCTAAAACATTCAACACGTGAAGCTGTTAAAGTACGCCTTAGTTAACGTTCATAACATATACACATCTAATTAGATTTTATTTAAATTCAGTTGTTGCAAACTTGGTTTTGAATTTTTAATTACACTTCTTATGCGTCATAAATAACCTTAAATTCTAAATAGAAAATACGTTTATGGGCTAATTGGTAGACGCGCAACACTTAGACAGATATAGTCATCTTACCCCGGGAGTTCATACTCCAGTGACCTTTTTTTTTCATCCCAACTTACAACAAAAGTAATTAAAAATAAATGTTATTATTGAAACAGTTTTAAACATTTCTTCCTATTTATCTTTGAACTTAACTTTATTCACTGCAAACATACTTTTGGTGTTTGTAAGCGTTATTTTACGTTTAGTATTTGTAGGAATTATTTGCACGCACGTATTTTAAACAATTATTTTTACTGTTTCATCTAAAAATCTTATTTAATTTAGTTTAATAATTTCTTAAATATAATATATATAATATAATTTAAAATATTTTATTAACCCTATTTAAATAAGTATCAAAACTCTTTCCTTTAATTTAAAAAGAATTTTAAATTAACGTAGGCTATAACGATATTTTACCCTTTCATCAACATTTATTTAAAAAGTAAATTTGGATATAGAAAAACGGGTTAAAGACTTATTATTTTAAATAAGTTAGCTTTATCTATTTAATGCTTTTCGTAAAAGCGTTTCTTTAAAGACTCTTAACAAATCATTCAAGCTGTTTTTACTGTTTAGGTTATTAAACCTGTTGTGTGTGCCAAAAATCGATACTTAATGCAAATGGAAACTTCGAGTGCTAATGGTGATTAAAGCATTAATGGTTCCTATTCATATATAATAAAAAGAGATATGAAAGACAAAGCAAAAATGATTTTTATGTCCATTTAAAACAATAAATCCCAAAATAAAAAAATAGATATTTACTTAAAAACATATTTTTCTTGATATAAAATAAAAATATAACCTTTAGTACAAATTACAAAAAAAAATTTATTCATCAGAGCTACTTATAATACAATTTAAATTGAATCATTGTTTCATAAATATTAAGCTTTAGGTAAGCCATAATTAAGTCAGCTATAAGAAACGGAACTAAAAATGGAAAAGTTATTTAAACGCATAATCATACACATTAATTACAAATTAACATGTCATGCAATCAATACTTTTGAAAACTCAAATATGCGAATAAGAAACTTACTTTTTTATTTTTACATAACCCTGACAGACCAACATGAATGTGAGCTAAATCTATTTGCATAAAACATCACAACAATTAATTAAATAGCAGAACCACCTTCAAAGGACAAAAAAATTAGTTTTTTAAGGAAAATTAGAGTTATTGGGAGGGGAGGTATTAATAAATAAAAAAGCTCAACTTGAATTTCAAAATTAGTTCATAGTTAGGTTGAGGGTTATTGAGTTATTCTGAGTTTATTATACATATTTTAAACTACTAACACCACACACTTATATTCTTAGTTCTGGAAGGTGCTACATAGAATTTGATTGTGTGAAAACCAAATCCCTTTGAGATTAACATTAACTTTATCAAATGTATGACCGTGACTTTTATTTCTAGTTAATGAGCATTGTTGATTAAGGTGTCTTTATTTAAATGATTTACTTTGATAACATTTAACATTCACGGGAAAAATTAAAAAACAACACAAAAATAAATTTACAAAAATATATTACAAAAAAAAATTACAAAAAAAAAATGAAGTGGCTCAAAAGTTGTCAATTTCTTTACATTTTAAAATGTAAAAAAAATTATTGACAACTTTTGAGCCGCGTTGTCTTCTCCTCCCAGCATCCGCTCTATTCCCCGTGTTGTATGGGGTGCCATCCCTCCATCTAAAGGAGGGATGGTCGTCCCCATACAAACACCAGCGATGGAAGGCCCTCATAGATAGAGGGCCTGGATGCTGGGAGCGATACTTTCGGAAATCTTCCCATGACTTCGAGCCTGAAAAAAAAATTATATATAAATACAACTATCTACCTAGGTAATACTTACAAAAAATCTACTGTAAAAAAACAATAAAAGCAAATAATGTAATAAATTAAGTACAAGTGAGCACAACAACTTATTTATTTTACTCACTAATACTTGACTTATTACATTAACTAATTAAACTGGAAAGCACATTTGTAGCTATATTAAAAAACAAAAGGTACAATAAAAGCAATCAAACAATGTAATAAGTCAAGTAAAGGTGAATATAACAACTTACTTGTAACAGAAGAAGCAGCAGCTAGAGATAAATAAAAGAAAGTTAAAAATGCAATAAAACCAATTAATCCATAAATTAAGTCAAGTATAAGTGAATAGAACAACTTACTTGTAACAGAAGAAGCAGCAGCTAGAGATAAATAAAAGAAAATTAAAAATGCAATAAAAACAATCAATCAATGTAATAAGCTGCATTAGGATCATAGATATACAACTGACAATATTTGGGCAGACAACCTTCTGCAGGCCTTAAATTTCCAACACGATGCAAAATTTGCCCACAGACCCTAAAACAGAAAGGGCCTTTATTTGAGGGAGGAGCTATTTTGGCAGTGAAAGAAGCAAAAGATAAAGAGGAATTATAACTCCTTATGTGTTTAAAAAAATTTTGATTTACAGCATGATCAACATGGTTTCCTGTCATTAAACCAGTCAACAATGGCGGATAAAGAGAAAGAGGAGCTAATACAACTTTTCCTGAATGGCAGCACAAAAAATGAGTTTTATTTAAAAACTTCTTTGCACTGCAATACTGACAATTATGGTTTAACTCTCCGAGGTAGTTACTCTCTATAGCAATATTATTTCTTGCTATGCGATGCATATTATACCTATTAAGTTCTCGCCTAGCCTGATTTCTTTTATTTTGATTACAATTTATTTCAGCTCGCCGGGGCTCATCTCTTTCAATTCGACGACGATTTATCTCAGCTCGCCGAGGCTCATCTCTTTCAATTCGACAACGATTTATCTCAGCTCGCCGGGGCTCATCTCTTTCAATTCGACGACGATTTATCTCAGCTCGCCGGGGCTCATCTCTTCGACGACGATTTATCTCAGCTCGCCTGGACTCATCTCTTTCAATTCGACGACGATTAATCTCAGCTCGCCTAGCCTGCCTTCTTTCATTTTGACGAAGTCTAATAATTTCATTTCTTAAATTATTAGACATAATTAGGCATCAAAGGAGTGTGTAAAAATGATGCCTAATATAATAAAAGTTGAAGCTTCTTTTTTAAACTTATTTAAAATAAAGTGTAAGCAAATAATACAGAGCATAATACTATAATCTATTATATTCTACCATATATAGCATTGTGTTAAGATAACATAGTTTTATTAAAAACTTAAACTAAAGTTATAAATTAATATAATATTTTCAACTAAGTATTGTTTATATATTTATGGTAGTTGTTATTAATTATTGACAAAATATTATAAGTATTTAATCAAAAAAAAAAAAAAAAAAAAAAAAAAATGTAATTT